TTATTTAAGACATACCCAGGGCTTTATTCACTAAACACTGAAATGTATGAATTGCAAAACTACGGCTAAAATCCTCAAAGTGGGAAAATTGAACCAAAACAGCATTTTTTAAAAATTGATTTAGCAATTTACTTTTCAGTCCACTACAATTATTAAATAAACAAACAAAAGCAATCAGTGGCCAGTTTATCTCAAAAAGAAATATGCTATATAAAATGAAATTCTGTGCTTTATTTCTTAATAATTATCTCTTTAAAATGTGGCAAAATCTCACAGAGGGAGCATTATGTGAGGCGCCAATGCATTTTGTGCTGAGATGGGAATTTCTTGGAGACCAGTTTAGCAAGAAAATCCTTATGGTTTCCTGGCAGAATTATTTAAAGGGACACTATAGGCACCCACACCACTGGTCTGGGTGGATATCCCCAGGTCCCTTAACTTTGCAATTATGATTATAATCCAGTGTTTACTCCATCTCTAGTGGCTGTCTATCAAACATGCTTAATAATGTCACCTTGACTCACTTTATTGAATAACCCTTTTCAGATTTCTAAGTTAAATCATTTTGCTAGGCAACATCCATTGGTTTTCGCTTTGTTTTGCTGACAGATGGACAGCCAGTAAATCAGGCTTAATATCAATAATATCTGTTATTTTGGGGAGGAAGCCCCGCTAGAAGGTAGTGCTGTGAACGCTTACATACGATCATTGCCAAGGTTGGGCGCATTCAGACAAATATTGAAGAGCTATAACTCCTACGTTATCACTTTAGCAGCCGATGGGCCGAGCTGTAGGAACACCAACATCAGTTTATTGTCACTCTGTGTACCGAAGCTTGCAGAATAACCAGTGCCGCAGTATTTGGAATTAAATAAATGTTTATACTCAAACTTAAAGTTAATAATTCATTGTAAATATCTTTAAAAAACACTAACACTGCAGGGCAATAAGAGTGTATGTAGCCCAGCGGGAAGTAAGATAATGTCAGGCTATTTTGTATGTTGTCTCAAAGCTAACAAACCTGGAAGGTTTATTGATATGGTGTCTATGCAGCAATCACACTATTTTCACAGGGCAGTTATTGGGTTATTGACTATCATAACCTCTACAGCGGAAATACACACTCCAGGCCACTTCAGATCACCAAAGAGGTCTTGGTGCCTGGATTAATCCTTTAATCACTTAACAAGAATGAATGGAATTATGTAAGTGAATCATTAAAACTGGAGTTGGTTAACTTCAAACCCTATTACCCTCAGCCAGACAGTGACTAGTGATGGCTCTCTTTTCCCCAGTCTTTTTCTCGGCAGTAATAGCGTCTCGGGATTAACTGCCGTCTGCCGTTTTCTGTAGACCTTGACTTTGTCTGCAAAGTACATCCTTCCAATAACTTTAACCGCTCTCCAGAAATATACAATTCAGCTAACTGAAACTGAAGAGATACGGAAACCAATTATAAATTCATAGAATCAAAGGAAATCTCGCAATACTCAATTATAAATGAACCATTCTCGTGCGTCTTTCTTGGATGTTTTCCATCCTTATTACCCATCTTCAAAGTTGCAATTCACTTGGAAATATAAAAAACGATTTACCTTAACAGTGACAGCTCCGTGGATAAGACAACAATTCATTCTGTGCCTTGAAACGGCTATTTTAGCATTACTTTAAACTCCTGTATGCATTGCTTTATCTCCCGTATATGGAATTGGTCGGAGTCTCCAATAAAGCTCACCAGACAGCAGGTGGACGTTAAAGCGTCTCTGTCGCTGCCATCTTAGAACATGTATCATACACCTATACTTTGTATCGATCATTTCAAATCTGTGTCCATAGACAGATAAACATGGCATTTTAGTGTTCCTTCCCTGCACAGTGGCATGCTGGGAACTAATCAGCTAAACTATTTTAAACCTCAGCAGAGGCGGCTCTAGACTTTGCAAGGCCTTAGGCGAAAGTCAAACACGAGGCCCCCCATTTACACCATTAGTGAAAAAAATTGCCGCAACTCCCTATGCCGCTGCGTTGTGAGCACTTACTGTAGATATGACATAAATTGCTAATCATTTGTATACGATTGCTGGGTATGGTTGTATAGCCTGACATTTCCCCACATATTCTAAATTCCTTAACATGTATATTATCATATATGTGTTTCCCTATGTATTATGTATGTATGTATGTATGTATGTATATATATATATATATATATATATATATATATGTTGCTTGCAACTTTATCTTTGCATTGCCCATATCATACCACAACCACACTGCAGACACACGCACACATTTAAACACTAATACACAAATACATATACACACTGATACATGCACATGCATTTACACACACACACACACACACACACATAAACACACTGAGCACACATATTGACTAATACAGACATACAGTCACAATGTGTTTATCTGGCTGTGTGTATTTCTAAATGTGTCTGTCATTGTCTATCTGTGTATGTGCCTGAGAGTGCGTCTGACAGTGAGTAGAAACATAGAAACATAGAATGTGACGGCAGATAAGAACCATTCGGCCCATCTAGTCTGCCCAATTTTCTAAATACTTTCATTAGTCCCTAGTCTTATTTTATAGTTAGGATAGCCTTATGCCTATCCCACGCATGCTTAAACTCCTTTACTGTGTTAACTTCTACCACTTCAGCTGGAAGGCTATTCCATGCATCCACTACCCTCTCAGTAAAGTAATACTTCCTGATATTATTTTTAAACCTTTGTCCCTCTAATTTAAGATTATGTCCTCTTGTTGTGGTAGTTTTTCTTCTTTTAAATATAGTCTCCTCCTTTACTGTGTTGATTCCTTTATATATTTAAATGTTTCTATCATATCCCCCCTGTCTCGTCTTTCCTCCAAGCTATACATGTTAAGATCCTTAACCTTTCCTGGTAAGTTTTATCCCGCAATCCATGAACCAGTTTAGTAGCCCTTCTCTGAACCCTCTCTAAGGTATCAATATCCTTCTGAAGATACGGTCTCCAGTACTGTACAATACTCCAAGTGAGGTCTCACCAGTGTTCTGTACAATGGCATGAGCACATCCCTCTTTCTACTGCTAATACCTCTCCCTATACAACCAAGCATTCTGCCAGCATTTCCTGCTGCTCTATTACATTGTCTGCCTACCTTTAAGTCATCAGAAATAATCACCCCTAAATCCCTTTCCTCATATGTTGAGGTTAGAACTCTATCAAATATTCTGTACTCTGCCCTTGGGTTTTTACGTCCAAGATGCATTATCTTGCACTTATCCACATTAAATGTCAGTTGCCACAACAGAAAAGTAAGCCTTGTATGTGAATGTATGTTTCTGTGAGCATGTGTATGTTTGTGTCTAGGACCGTATTTGTGTGTGGTAGCTGCTTGCGGTATTTTTTGTATATGGACTGTGGCCTTTGTGCATTTTGTCTGTGGAGAATGGTGACAGGGTGTGTGGAGGGAGGTGACAGGGTGTTGAAAGGGGAGACTGTGTGTGTGAGTGGAGGGGATGACAGAGTGTGAAATGACGTGAAAGAGAGTGGAGGGGGCTGACAGAGTGTGGAGAGGTGTGACAGAGTGTGGAAGGGGGTGACAGATTGTGGAAGGGATTAACAGAGTGTGAAAGGGGGTGACAGGTCGCTGAGGGAGGGATGGGTTGACAGAGTTAGGGGGTGGCAGAGTGAAGGGTGGGCAGGTGGCTGAGGGAGGGGTTGACAGGTGGCAGTGTCAGAGAGGGAGAGGGTGACAGGGGTCAGAGTGAGGGTAGGAGGGGGTGACAGGGGGCATTGCGATGGGGTGACAGAGTGAGGGAAGGTGGGGTAACAGGGGACAGAGTGAGGGAAGGTGGGGGTGACAGGGGACAGAGTGAGGGAAGGAGGTGGTGACAGGTGTTAGAATTAGGGTAAAGGGGGTGACAGGTGGCAGAGTGAGGGCCACAGTGAGGGGGTGACAGTTGTCAGTGAGGGAGGGGCTCACAGGGGGCAGAGTGAGGGGGTGACAGAGGGCAGAGTCAGGGAGGGAGGGGGTGACAGCGGGCTTAGTGAGAGGATGACAGCGGGCTTAGTGAGGGGTGACAGTGGGCTTGGTGAGGGGGCGACAGGGAACTTGGTGAGGGGGCGACAGGGAAGTTAGTGATGGTGACAGGGGGCTTAGTGAGGGGTGACAGGGGGCTTAGGTAGGGGGTGACAGGGGCTTGCAGGGGTGACAGGGGGCTTGGTGAGGGGTGACAGGGGCTTAGGTAGGGGGTGACAGGGGACTTAGGAGTGACAGGGAACTTAGGAGTGACAGGGGGCTTAGTTAGGGGTGCCAGGCCCCAGTGATGGGGTGACAGGGGACTTAGGTAGGGGGTGACAGGGGCTTAGTGATGGGGTGACAGGGGACTTAGGTAGGGGGTGACAGGGGCTTAGTGAGGGGTGACAGGGGACTTGGTGATGGGTGACAGGGGACTTAGTGAGGGACTTAGTGATGGGTGACAGGGGACTTAGGGGTGACAGGGGACTTGGTGAGGGGTGACAGGGAGCTTAGGTAGAGGGTGACAGGGGACTTAATGATGGGTGACAGGGGACTTAGGGGTGACAGGGGACTTGGTGAGAGGGGACTTAGGGGTGACAGGGGACTTTGAGGGGTGACAGGGGACTTAGAGGGTGACAGGGGACTTAGGGGTGACAGGGGACACTGAGGGGTGACAGGGACGCCTGAGGGGTGACAGGGACGCTGAGGGGTGACAGGGGATGCTGAGGGGTGACAGGGACTTTGAGGGTGACAGGGGGTGAAAGTGACAGGGACATAGGGGGTGACAGGGGACAGTGACAGAGGGACTTGATGAAAAGGACAGGGAATTAGGGGTGACAGGGGACATAGGGGGTTACAGGGGACTTGATGAGGGGTGACAGGGGAAGTAGAGGGTGACAGTGGACTTAGGGGTGACAGGGGGCTGAGGGGGTGACAGGGGAGGCTGAGGGGGTGACAGGGGACGCTGAGGGGGTGACAGGGGACGCTGAGGGGTGACAGGGGACGCTGAGGGGTGACAGGGGACTTAGGGGGTGACAGGGGGAATTACCTTTGCAGGTGTCCCTGGTGGTCCAGTGTCCTGGCTCCCTGGTGGTCCGGTGGGCCTCCTATCCGGTCTGCAGCTCCGCCGGGTGTGAGCTGCAGACCACGTGATAGGAGTCTCGCGATCTCCAGGAGTCAGAGCGTTGCCGTGGTAACCCGCGGCAACGCTCTGATTGGCTGGGGATCGTGAGGCACTTCAGTCTGCAGCTCACACCCGGAGGAGCTGCAGACTGAAGGCTGGCTCTCCGGGCGGACTGAGGGGGCCTCGCACCCGGCGGC